GCTGTGATGGTGTCAACTTTGAAAATAAAATCGTTATTATACTAGCGAAGCCGGTTTATTCGCGAATAGCAGGGGAACCGCAATCCAGGGCAGGCAGGCTGCAGGGAAGCACAGGCAAGTCTGGAGAACCAATCAGTAGGGAGAAGGGGTGGGCGGGGCTGCTTGAAATGAAAGCCCATTGGAGGATGGCGGCTGCTTCTCCTTGGCTAAGTTTGGCAGTTTCTCATTGGCTGGGCTGCTGCTCAGGCCAGGAGAAAATGGTTCTCGTGCTGGGTAGTAAAGTAGGCTTCTTCCTTCGGACTGCTGGAGTGGTAACGCAGGAGCCGCACCCTTCAGAGCTTCCCTCTCCTCTTCAGGGAGGTTTTCCACCCTCATTTTCGTATCAGCCAGGTTGGGGGGGGGCTGGCATTATTCTGGTATTGGCTGCACAAGTGTTTGCTGGAAAACTATATTTGACAGACTGTAAGGCAGTTTTTAATACACTTTTTGTAGGTGTGTTATATTTGACAAAAATGTTACAATAAATGAAAACCACCTGTGTATGTACATGATGAGAGCTTTCAAATTATCAAGAAAGAGTATTTTGTTGATTTTAAAAGGGCCATATTGGTGGTTTATTTAATGACTTTTCATTCATGATAAGCCATGCTGTAATGGACTTCCTTTTACATAAATCTTGTTTACCTTTTGCTAGAATTTCTATTGGGTAAATTTGTAGGGTGTATGTATGGTGTTTTTTGCTTTGGTGGATCTTTCCAATTTGCCCTCCAGAAAGATTGGCTGATTATACACCTACCAATAGTATGTGGAAGCTTATATCACAACCACAATTGCCACAGTGAAAACAGATTTCTAATCCTAAAAGGGAACTATGTTATGTCTTGATTCTGGTTTCTGTTTGTTATTTTAATTTAATTTTATTTATCCTTAAAGTTTATTTATTTGTTTTGAGAAAGGCAGAGACAGCTGAGTGGGTGAGGGGCAGAGAGCAAGGGGGAGAGAGAGAGAGAGGAAGAGGGAGAGAGAGAGAATATTCCAAACAGGCTCTGCACTGCCAGTGTAGAGCCAGACATGGGGCTCGAACTCACGAAACAGACCATGACCTGAGCCGAAACCAAGAGTTGGTCGCTTAACCAACTGAGCCATTCAGGTGCCCTGTTATTTTTATTTTTTTTTTTTTAATGGTTATTTTTGAGAGAGAGAAAGAGAGAGGGAGTAGGGGAGGGACAGAGAGAGGAAGACAGAATCTGAAGCAGGCTCCACAGTGTCAGCGAAAAGCCCCATGTGGGTCCAAATGTAACCTCTAGATCATGACCTGAGCCGAAGTCAGCTGCTCAACTGACTGAGCCACTCAGGGGCCCCCAGTTTCTTTTTTTTAAAGCCAGATTGGTCACCTTTTATATTTTGTTGGCCTTTTCTATTTCTCCATTTTTTTAGGTAAACTTTCATATACTTTGCTCATTTTTCTTTTTATTTGTGTCCGTTTCTCTGTTGAATAAGCTGGTTAGCCTGGAATTACACTCACCACTTGCCTCTCATCTTTTCCCATGGAACTCTAAGTTTTATGGTCTGATTTGTCCTTTTTCTTTGTGGCTTCTGGATTTTGTGTCCTACTTTGAAGACCTTCACTCCAATATTATAAATATCCATACTTTCTTTTAGACTTTTGTGACCCCATTTTTAACAATGAAATATTTAAATCAATCTGGAACTTACTAGTTGTAAAGAATAAGGTAAAATTACAACTTAATTTCCCCACAAATATTCAGCTGTTCCAGCATCAGTTATTGGATGATCCTCCTTTTCCTGATGATATGAAATGCACGTTTATCGTACGCTACATTTCTAAATTCTATTTGTGTAATCTCTGTTCTGTTTCATTGATCTGTTTATTTCTTCTGCAGCTCCAGATGCTTTTCATTATTGTAGCTTTTAAACATCTGGGAGGCTAGGTCTCTAGCAGTCCTCCTGTTTTTTAGTGCTTTCATGGCTAGGCTGGTCTCTAGTGTTTGAAGCTAATTTTATTAGCATTTGTTGTACACCCTTCCCCAGGCCAAATTGGCTGGCGTTTTAATTGGTATTGCATGGAAAGTTTACATTAATTTAGGGAGAAGTGACATGTTCATCACATCACACTCACTTTCCCCATTTCTTGAGCATTGTTTTATGTCTCTCAGAGTTTTAAGGTTTATTTTATTTTTTCTTTCTTCTTTCTTTCTCTCTTTCTTTCTTTCTTTCTTTCTTTCTTTCTTTCTTTCTTTCTTTCTTTCGGTTTTGATCATATTGGGTGCTTTGCCTTTCTTGTTAAATCTATCCCTAGATGTTTTTATGTATAATTTTTGTAAGTGGTTGGGTGAAGTGTTCTATAAATATTAGATTAAGTTGGTTGATAGTATTGTTTGAGTCTGTGCCCTTACTGATTTTCTTTCTACTTCTCTCTCAGCTACCGAGAGAAGGATATTGATCATAATTGTGAATTTGTCTATTTCTTGTTGCATTTCTATTGGTTTTTACTTAGTGTATTTTGAAGCTTTGTTATTAGATACAAAAGTATTTAGAATTATTAGGTCCTGTTGCTAAAGTGATTCCTGTGTTACTATGACCTGACTCTTCGTTGCTGGGAATATTCTTTGATCTGAAATATATTTTGTGTGATGAAAATGCCACCATCTAACTTCCTTCTCCTGGCATCAGCATGGTGCACCTTTGCATGCTAGTTCTGACTTTCTGTTAAGGTGGATCACTGCAGGCAGGATGGCTGGGTCTTGACTCCATCTACTGACCCTCCAACCCTTTGTGTTTCAGTCTTCAGTGTCTTTATGAGGAGCCACGATAGGCTCATGCAGGCACCGTCCAGACTTCCTGTTTGTGCTGACATGGTCTGGGTAGCTTGACTGTCCCCCTCTCAGCCATGCGGGTTTTCTGCAGCTTGAGATCTAAGAGGTGAGGTGTGAGGGATGGTGCTGTGGGTGCAGCCGCTCTGGGCTCTGACTGCCACCTGTAGCTTCACGAACCATCTGGAGGAGGCTTTCTCTGTTTCCCTGAGGATTAGTGTGATTCCTGTGATGTCTTATCTTGGGTTTCATGTGTTTTCCTCCCTCTGGACATGGCTGGGGGCCTCGAGCCCACCCTCTGAGGGTCAGCGAGGTTGTTACCTCCCTCCAGAGCTACAGTTTTGGGTGGGGCCCTGTGTGCCTCCTCTAGCATCTCTGCTGGTGGCTTGTCCACGGTCTCTCTTGATGGATAGTTGGCCAAGTTGTATCTGATGGGGAATTTGGTGGTTCCTCCTGTCTCATGTGGGAACAGTGGTCAGGAGGGTAATGTCTGCACCATCTCCTCAGTGATCCACCCCTGCTTCTCTGCTCTCCTGGCTCTTGGGGAGGTGAAGGGAGAATCTCTAGGCAGCACCACAGTGAACTGAAGGATTCTAGAAACTTCCATCTCATTCCTTCACTGTTTTATTTTTGTCTAGTGGCGTATTTGTGTCCTTTGATTTTTTTTGTCTTTTGTTTTCTCTATGTTGCTCATATGTTTAGGCATGGGGTGGTGGGGTCAAGAGGGTTAGCTTAGTCTCTGATCTTCCTTCTTAAACCAGAGCTCAGGATAGCTCAGATTGTAAGCAGTGATTCCGAATGTGTATTTCCTCTAGAAACTTCACTTGGAAATGTTGGCAGACCAGCCACGAACAACTAAATACCACAATGTTATCCTGCAGAATAAAGAATCCCTGAAAGATAAAGTGATTCTGGATGTCGGCTGTGGGACTGGGATCATCAGCCTCTTCTGTGCACATCATGCGCAGCCCAAAGCAGTGAGTAGGAGGCAACTGTCCCTTCAGCGGCTTGTGAGCTGAGTCTTGGTGTGGTCCCGTGTGCAAAGGCCCTGTGTCGGTGAAACAGGCAGTGTGCTCTGGCAGGCTGAGCCTATTGGACGTTGTGATGTTGGCGTAATGAGTCACAAACAGCACAGAGTAGAAGAGGAGAGAATAGAAAATATCTGAGTGAGTTGCATGTTGTGGGATATTTTTTGGTAAAATGTTTATTTCAGTTGAATAGAGAAACATATGTGTCCCTGTGTTGGGGCTGAGCCACTGGTGTAGGTCACTGTCCAAGTGATATCCCTGCACTGAGCAGGGACCACCTGGCAGGGACAAAACAGACCACTCTCCGTGACACAAGGTGGCTTCCCTTCGTCCTCTTCCCTTTAAAGTATGCAGGGTGGGCCGTGCAGAGCTGAAGCCCTGCGGCAGCCCCTGACACAGGTGGATGAAACTCCTAGTTTATAAGTGGAGCTGTGGTGCAGTGACCACTGGAGTTCAGGTGCTGTCAGAACCGAGACGTATGCACACACGACCTTCCTCTGACAACCTGGATTTGAAATGGTCTCAGCCACTGATATCCATAAAGTCTGACTCTTCTCAGGCCAATACTGAGAAGCTCCTGCATCAGTTTTCAGTTATGGGTTGTGTTGCTGCGTGTGTGGGAGCTGGGCCACTGGGTCACACCCGGGGAGGGCCCCTGCGGTGGGTGCCCAGTATGGGTGTAGGGCCTTCCTCTCACCTGCAGCCCCCTGTCTGTTTTAGGCAGGAGGTGGAGTGAAGGTTAGAGGTGGCTCCCTTGCCAGGGCTCCGTCTGTTGGAGATAGCACGGTGTGGCCCAGCTGCCATTCCTGCTGTCCGGCACTGTCGCTTCCGTCTGTCCTTGTTTTTCCTGATGCCGACTCTGACTCAGCTGAAGCAATGGGCTCAGGGAGAGCAGATGACAGGCCGCTTTGCAGGGTGGGACATGCACTGATGGCACTTCTCCCATATGCAGGTGTATGCAGTGGAGGCCAGTGAGATGGCCCAGCACACAGGGCAACTGGTCATGCAGAATGGCTTCGCCGACATCATCACTGTGTTCCAGCAGAAGGTGGAGGATGTGGTGTTGCCAGAGAAGGTGGATGTGCTGGTATCCGAGTGGATGGGGACCTGCCTGCTGGTAAGGAGCACTGGGACATGCGGGTGGCTGTGGATTGCACCAGGGAAGTGCAGATTCCAAGCAGGGGACATGGACTGGGTCCAGAGCGGCTGTTGTGAGCAGAGCTCCTAGGGGAGAGCTGCAGCTGTTTCATGTTAAAGTGAATCCACCTGGTGCCTTTCCTGGCGCTGACCTCTGCTTAGTGCAGGACAGCCTCGAGGCCACAAAATCCACCACTTGTGACAACGGGGCAGGGAGACCTTGAAGGCGATATGCTAAGTGAAATAAGTCAGAGGCATACTGTATGATCTCACTTACATGTGGAATCTGAAAACAACAACAACACAAAACTCACCCACCAAACTCCTAGAAAAAGAGCAAATTTGTGGTTAATGGGGAAAAAGGGGGTTGGGGAGAAAGAATTGGAAGACCATGGTCAAAAGGTACAGACTTCAGGTACACGAAAATGAGCAGTGGGGTCACGATGTATAGGGTGGTGACTACAGTGACATACAGGACAGACGTTAAGAGTGAACAGTTGACCCTTGAACAATGTGGGTTTGAACCATGGAGGCCCACTTACACATGGAATTTTTTTTAATTAAAGAACATTTTTTAATGTTTATTTATTTTTGAGAGAGAGATAGAGCATGAGTGGGAGAGGGGCAGAGAGAGAGGAAGACACAAAATCTGAAGCAGCCTCCAGGCTTTGAGCTGTCAGCACAGAGCCCGACGTGGGGCTCGAACTCATGGACTGTGAGATCATAACCTGAGCCGAAGTCGGACGCTCAGCCAACTGAGCCCCCCAGGTGCCCAAAGTGATAAATACTAACTAAACTTTTATGGTAATCATTTCACAATACATGTAAATCAAGTCATTGTGCTGTACATCCTGAACTTGTAGTTATCTTAGAGAAACTTGGTGACAGGTTGGTGGTTTTTTAAAAACACAAAAAAGCATGTACAATATGATTCCAATTTTTTTCTAAGTTTATTTATTTATTTTTGAGAGAGAGAGCATGAGCACGAGGGGGGAGGGGCAGAAAGAGAGGGAGAGAGAGAATCCCAAGCAGGCTCTGCACTGTCAGCACAGAGCCTGATGTGGGGCTCGAACTCACGAACCATGAGATCATAACCGGAGCCGAAATAAAGAATCAGATGCTTAGTCAAATGAGCCACCCAGGTGCCCCTAGTTTTGTTTTTAAAAACTGTACATGGCAAGAGTCCTGGGTAGCTCAGTTGTTTAGGCATCTGACTTTGGCTCAGGTCATGATCTTGCAGTTCCTGAGTCCGAGCCCTGCATTGGGCTTTCTGCTGTCAGTGGGGAGCCCACTTTGGATCCTCTGTCCCACTTTCTCTCTGCCCCTCCCCTGCTCGTGCTCTCTTTCTCTCAAAAATAAATAAAAAACATTAAAAAAAATTCATAGGTAGCAATGACCTAGCCGGCTGCAGGTAGGATGTTCCAGGTATGGTGGGGAAAGCACACCCCACCCTGTGTGTCCCAGTGAGTGCAGCTGTGGATCTAGGACAGCATGCAGGGAGAAGCTATTTGAGGACTTTGAAAAGCATATAGTAGCTGGAAGGTTGAGAAAGAAGGCCAGAACTTGAAGTACACCGACCTGGTCTTAAGTTTATTGTTATTCCTCCTGTGGCTCTGTCTCCATACGTAACTTTAGTAATTTAGATGAAAAAGACCAATTCTTTTGAAAAGTGCAAACTTCTACAACTAACCCACAGTGAGGTAGATAACTTGAATAATCAAGTAAATACTAACAATATTAATTTATAGTTGAAAACCTTCTGTGAAGAGAAATCTGTAGGCCTAAATTATTTCACTGGTGAAATCTACAAACACATTTAAGGAAGAAATAACACCAGATCTGAGCAATGTCTTTCAGAAAATGGAAGAGGTGAGACACTTCCTAGCTCATTTGGTGAGACTGGCATTACCCTAATACCAAACCCAAACCAAAAAGAACTCATGTTCATAAATGCAAAAATCCTCAAAAATATTAGCAAGTATAATCCTGCAATACATAAAAGGAATAACACTACAACAAAGAAGAGATTATCTTTGGAATTCAAGGCTGAGTAATTTACCATATTAACAGTCTACAAAAGAAAAATCACATGATGCTATCAACACACAAAAAATTTGACAACATTCAAAATAGTTTTAAAGTTTCTATTGAGATTTCTTATTTGATCTGTGTGGTTTTTTTTCAGAAGTGTTTAATTTCCCAAGTATTTTTTTATTTTCCAGCTATCTTTCTGTTATTGATTTCTAGTTTAATTCCATTGTGGTCTTGAGAGTAGACATTGTATGACTTCTGTTCTTTTAAATTTGTTGAGATGTGTTTTATGGCCCAGAATGTGGTCTGTCTTGGTGAGTGCTCCACGTGAACTTGAGAGAAAAGTGTATTCTGCTGTTGGATGGAGTGGTCTATAGATGTGCATTGGATCTAGCAGATAAATGATGTTGAGTTCAACTATGTCCTTACTGATTTTCTGCCTGCTGGATCTGTCCTTTTCTGATAGAGGGATGTTGAAGTCTCCAACTATGATAGTGGATTCATCTGTTTTCTCTTGCAGTCCTATTTGTTTTCACCTCACACAGTTTAATGCTCTATTGTTAGGTATATACATGGTAAGGACTGTTATATCTTCTTGGAGAATTGACCCCTTTATCATGTTGTTATGCTCCTGTTTATCTTTGATAACTTCCTTCCTCTGAAAGCTGCTCTGAAATTAACATAGCTACTCCTGCTTTCTTCTGATTAGTGTTAGCATCGTCTATCTTCCTCCATCCACTTAACTTTTAGTTTATAAGTGTCAGTATATTTAAAGTAGGTTTCTTGTAGACAACACTTAGTTGGGTATTAGTTTTTGATCCACTCTGACAATCTTTGTTTTTTAATTGGTATATGTAGACCACTGACATTCAAGTGGTTATTAATATAGTTGGATTAATACATCTACCATATTTGTTACTGTGGTCTATTTGTTATTCTTGTTCCTTGTTCCTGTTTTTTTCTTCTACTCTTTTTCTTCTATGATTTTTCTTTAAGCAAATAAAGTTAGGTAATTTAATGAGCATAAATTAAGGGTGAATTAATTTAATGCTCAGAGGTATATTGGTTTAGAACCTGACATGAACATGCTGATATTGTAAACTTAAGATTGATATTTTTGTATGGAGAACTATCTATCATGCTAATGGTCAACAAAAGAAAGCTGGAGTAGCCATACTTATATCAGACAATCTAGACTTTAAAATAAAGACTGTATCAAGAGATGCAGAAGGGCGTTATATCATAATCAACGAGTCTATCCACCAAGAAGACCTAATAATTGTAAACATTTATGTGCCAAACGTGGAAGCACCCAAATATGTAAATCAATCACAAACATAAAGAAACTCATTGATAGTAATACCATAATAGTAGGAGACTTCACCATCCCACTCACAGCAATGGACAGATCATCTAATCAAAAAATCAACAAGGAAACAATGGCTTTGAATGACACACTGGACCAGATGGACTTAACAGATATATTCAGAACATTTCATCCTAAAGCAGCAGAATGTACATTCTTCTCCAGTGCACATGGAACGTTCTCCAGAATAGACCATATACTGGGACACAAATCAGCCCTAAGTAAGTTCAAAAAGATTGAGATCATACCGTGCATATTTTCAGACCACAATGCTATGAAACTTGAAATCAACCACATGAAAAAATTTGGAAAGGTAACAATACTTGGAGGCTGAAGAACATGCTACTAAAGAATGAAGGGGCTAACCAAGCACTTAAGGAGGAAATTAAAATATATGGAAGTCAATGAAAATGATAACACCACAACCCCAAACCTCTGGGATGCAGCAAACATGGTCATAAGAGGAAAGTATATAGCAATCCAGGCCTTTCTAAAGAAGGAAGAAAGATCTCAGATACACAACCTAACCTTATGCCTTAAGGAGCTGGAAAAAGAACGGCAAATAAAACCCAAAACCAGCAGAAGACAGGAAATAATAAAGATTAGAGCGGAAATTAATGCTATCAAAACCAAAAAACAGTAGAACAGATCAATGAAACCAGAAGCTGGTTCTTTGAAATAATTAACAGAATTGATAAACCACTAGCTGGTTTGATCAAAAAGATTCATATTTTTGTAAATTGATGGCGTATTTACTTTGTAGACCATTTCCAATTTATAAAAATATTTTTCAGTTGTAATCTTTCTTGAAGCTCACTTTATCTGTAATCTGTCTGTTATCTATCTTCACTTGTATTAAGGTATAAAATTATAAGATATTTAAAGTATGCAATATGACTATTTGATAGCTGTATACATTATCAATAGCTTCCCCCCGTTGAGTTAACCCATTCATCAGTCACAATAATGGTGTCATCAGTTATAGTCACCATGGTATATAATAGATATTCAGACCTTATTCATTTTATAATTGACAGTTTGTAGCTTTTTACCAGTGTCTCTCTATTTTCCTCACCCCTGAGCTCCTGGTAACCACTTTTATACTCTCTGTTTCTATGAGTTCAACTTTGAAAAACTTTTTTTTTTTTTAAAAGATCTCACATATAAATGATATGATGCAGTATTTGTCTATCTGTGGCTTATTTCATTTAGCATAAGGCCCTCTAGGTTCATCCATGTTGTTGCAGAGGTTTGGATTTCCTTCTTTCTCGTGGGTGAATAATATTCCATTGTATATAACTGTGTCTATATATGTATATCACATATGTATCATATATACATATCTATTTCACTTTTCCTTTATCCATTCATCTGTCAGTGGACACTTTGGTTGTGTCCATAACTTGGTTATTATGAATAATGTTTCAGTGAACATGGGAGTGCAGATACCTCTTTGAGATAATGATTTTGTTTTCTTCAGCTATAAGCCCAGAAGCAGGATTGCTGGATCACATGGTATTTCTGGTTTTAATTTCTTGAGGAACTTCCATACTGTTTTCCATAGTGGCTGTACCAGTTTACAT